AGAGAGGGCGGCAGGATGGTGCTGCTCCGCCTGACCGTCAAGGTCGTCCCTCGCGCGGTGGAGGGCGAGGAGGCAAAGGACGCGGACGGGCTGAAGAGCACCAGCTTCCTCATGGTCGTGCACCGGCCGGACCAGATGAGCCTCGGAGAGCTGGCCTGGAGAGTCTCAGAGCAGTGGAAGAAGCTCCGGCCAGAGGCTGAGTAGGCCTGCCTGTTCTCTTTCTCTGTTTTTGCTGTTTTCGCGGTTGCTAACCTAGGATTTTACAGGCCGCTGGTGATCAAGAAACTCCTGGATGACAACCACGATACGGACGAGCTGGACGCCGATTTGACCGTGGCAGACGTGTTTATAGACTATGGCAAGGCGCGTGCAGACGGGTTGGACCAGCGGGGGGCCCTGCGAGTCATCCAGAAGCCGACGAGCACTCGGTCAGTCCGCTACGGCTCCGTCGTCCAGGACTGGGACGCCATCACAAACCACCACTCCCGAAGGGCTGCGAGGCTCTCGAGACGGAAGCTAGCGCATTTCCCCATGGCCAGTGGTCTAGCTTCAGCTTCTCCCGTCAAGAACCATGTTGCTGCCGTCAATGGGGGTGGCATTCCGTTGGAAGTCGCTGAATCAGTCCATCCGCTTGGCTCTATCGAAGAAGAACCAGCAGCTACGGAGTCACACCAGCGCAGAGAACCCTCGCCGGCTCTTGCGGAACGAGAATTGACGCAGGAAACTACAGACACCAACGCCTCGAATCTACGGTCATCCCCTCTGGATGCTTTTCCTAGCTCCACACGCCTTCCCAGGCATCACCGTGCTGAGCTAGGAAAGGATGGTGACATGCTCATTCCAGGGGTTCATACTTCACTGCTTTCTAGTGAGTGGCCGCTGGATATATACTTTGTCCTGCCTTTCACTGACTTTAAATACACAGATCAAGCTGCCCTACGGAACTCGAAAGGGGCCAAAACCTCGCAATCAGCCATTAGCGGTCGTCCATCTCCAAGTGCTGCCCGCCAACCAAAGAGACCAAGGACTGCCGATAGTGAAGAGCTGTCCGGAAACACTTCATCCCTGGCTGCTAATCAGAGGTACCCAAAACATGCAAAACGACAAAAGATTGCCGAGACGCCTGCTTCAGAGCTAGAACCTGAAGATTATGAGATGCTCGATGCTCACCCGCCGAGAGCTAGTATAGAGAAGTCCCAAACCCTCCCGTATGCCCATAAAGGAAAAACAGATGCTCGACAGAATTCTCAGAAGGCTCTAAGGGAGGGTCCCAATGGGGCACCTGCTGTCATTGATCTAACTTGCACGTTATGCACAACAGAAAGCAACAGTAAGCCAAAATCAAATCAGATAGGTTTAGGCATAACCGCCAGCCCCCCTAAGAAGCGCACAGTTGACAAATTAGATATCCATGAAGACAACTCCAGCGCAATCCTAACCCCCAAGGCGTCTGGACACCCTAACCGCCCTCGCTCTTCTGACATGCATCAGATATCCCCCGATCTCACTCAAGACGCGCCCTCTTCGGCAAGACTAGCTAATAACAAGAAAGCCGTGTCGAGTAGAGATGCTAAGGCTGATGCAAGAAAGAAGACAACCATGCAGTCGGGCAAGGCTTATAGCCGCGATTTCAGCTCAGTCACAGCCGTGAACAGGAAATGGACTGATAAATTTGATTGTCGGGTAGCCGGCTATAACAGGGAACGAGCTATTTCCCATTTGGATGACATAGTTCAAGCCGCAAAGGAAGTTGATGACTCTCAAGACCAGATACCAAGATTGGAGAAAATACTTGATGAATTGGACAATCTTCCAAACTACGCCGGTAAGGGTAAGATACAGGTTAGGAAGAACGCACACAGACGAATCAATCGGTTATTGGAGACTCTCGAGGTTATGGGTCAACCAAGGCTTAGCCGGGAGGAACCTCAACATCATGAAGATGAGGTGGATGAAGAGTCCAGTGGGGAAGAGAATGAACCCCGATCTGGGGGTTCCTCCTCTACCGAGAACGATTCAGAGAAAGAAGTAGATGAAAAATCTACAGCCGCCAAGTCAACAGCAGTCAATACAGACGAGAAGAAAGGTGCAAGTGACGGTAATGGGAGCGAGAGCGAGCGCGTGCACAGTAACGAAGAGAACTACAAGGGGAGAAGTGATAGTGAAGATGGTTCGGAGAAAGATGATGAGGAGAACGAGGAAGAGAAGCAAGATCGTATGAGGCTTCGAGTATGTGTATCTCCCTCTCTCTCAGATCCCGGCGATGAGAGCCTGTCCGCCACTGGGCCTCGACGATCTTCTAAGGGGACTGTCCGTGATAAATCCCCATCTGTCTACTCAGTTCCTTTGTCCGGATCTGAAGCCCCTGAGCCCGAGTCAGATAAATCTGAAAGCGGTAGTGATAGTGGCAGTGAAGAAGACGAGGAGGATGATGAAAGCACACCTCGTGCCAAAGTAGTCTCGAAGAAGACCCCCAGCCAGGAATCATCTGCTGCTTCCGAGTCTAATGAATTGGAGTCGGTTGGCAAAGGAAATACTTCTGAATCGAGAGCTACAACTCCATCAGAGAAAGATACTGATATTAAACCCAACGGGACCCAGCAAGATCAGGTAGAAAGGGAAGAATCTGAGAGATCTGGTAGAAGTTCCAAGGAAAAAGAGGCAATTGAGAGCGATGAAGATGGTGAAGAAGGCAAAGATGAAAAATTTGAGGATGCGAAAGAAGGCTCTGAATCTGACGAAGAATCCGACTCGGCAGGTGAAGAAGCAGCCGCATCCAACGCGGATGCATCAAAAATGCCAGCAGCAAAGAAACAGGTCACTGTGTTTGAAGACTCTGACTCTAGCTCTAGCTCCGAGTCCTCTTCTACCTCAGAAGGATCAGATATCCAATACCGCAAGCCAAAACCCAAGGACGATGGCACTGAGGCGGCACAGCAGCCCGCTACCGAACAAGACATGCAAAACAGATTGCCAACTGCTCCAACGCCTCGCAAAAAAAAGGTACATGTGTTGAAACGATCTCAGACACCGCTACATAGGCCATTCCGGCCACGGCAAGACTCGGCTCACAACAAGACGAATCCAGCCAGCTCTCCACTTGTGGAGGACAAGTCGAACAGACCGGAATTTATCACCTTCTCCCAGCCTACGCCAACTGCAACCAGCCGCTCATCAGCAGTGGCTAACGGCACCAGGCCCCGATCAACACCCACAGGGTCGAACCCAGAGCGCAGCAACAATGGACTTAAACGCCTCCTCAAGGGCAAGTCTACCAGGAATATGTTTGGGAAACCTAGTTCACCGGCTATCTGAGCTGTGTAGTGACAGACTGGAGCATGTGGCCAGGGAATAAAAGAACATTGAGCAGGAAGATCCAGCGAGTCCATTTGAATAATTCATGTGAAGCATTATACCCTTTCTTGATGTGCAGTTGGAGGAGAGAGGAAAAGGGGCTCGTGTCAGTTGAAGCATGTGTATCCTTAGATGTATGATATCAGGCTCTTTTAGCCGTCTCCGGAAGAGCAGAGCTTTACACAGACGAATCCATGTAGTTTAACCGCTTGATACCTGCAGACCTTTCATCGTTACCTACGCAGAGCTCTCTGGCTAAGGAAGCGCGATCTGATACTCCGTACAGGGTTGACATCCTGTGCCTCTCTACCCCCCTGAAACACAGCCTCTCATGCATGCATCAGGCGGCTTACATGTCTTCTTCGGCTCTTTCATTTTCTTTGCATAAGCTGCAACCATCGAAGCACCCTATATCAGATGTTGGCCCGGCAGAGTTGGCGCTATAGATGTACATTATTGAGTAGACTCGGCGCATAGATAGATAGATCTACAGTGACCGATGGGAGAACATCGCCCCCCCCCCCCCGTACGTACCAACCTAACTACCTACACATACCACACCCCCGGCCTGTCTATTTCCTGTCTTTCTAGCATCCTGTGTCTGACTGGGACCCGTGTCGACGTTCTCCTGGGTTACTAACATCTAGTTATCTGGCGCTTGATATTTCGAAAGCCTGGCATTAGTTCTGGGCGATAGCTAGTTATACGAAGTTCAGCCCACCAAAGTCTGCTCTCACAGTCAACCACCACCGCAGGCATATATCCAGCCATCGACCAAGCTCACCGGGTACATAGCATAGCTACGCGCATAGCTCGAGACGGGATGGACCTTGATCTCTGCTTCACCGTCGTTCAGCCGGCGCCCGACGGCTACGAGTCTGCTGTTCCCTTGGTCCTGATCCACGACGGCGGCGGGACAAGCGTCAACTACTACTACCTGCACTCCCTCGACCGCGCTGTCTACGCCATCCAAAACCCCAGTTTCTACTCCGGCGAGCCCTGGGAGGATGGCATCCCCGAGATGGGAGCGACTTACGCGCGTCTCATCCGATCTCATGTCCCGGCTGGCCCAATATTGCTAGGAGGTGAGATTTCATTTCCGTCGCGCGAGGGGCATCGCATATACTGATTCGTCCTTTGGGAGGGCCGAGCAGGCTGGTCTCTGGGCGGCATGATCTCCCTGGAAATCGCCAGCATATTCTCGAGACAGTCCTCCGAGCTGCGGGTGCTCGGCATCGTGATGATTGACAGCGTGTATCCTCTTGCCCCGAAGCCAGCAGGCCGAACGATCGTCCCGCACAAGCTGCAGTTCGGGAAATATACAAAGCCAGAGACACAACGGTTGTCTTCCAACTGTATGGCCCAAGCCGTTCAAATGGCGCAAACCTGGACGATGCCCGTCTGGCGGGGCTGCTCTGACGAAACGGAGTATAATCGTCGAGCGGCTTTTGAAAAGGAGCTGTCTCAGAAGATGAAGTCGAAACATCCAGAGTCTGAAGAGCACAACGAAATCTCGATGAGGGACCTTGCCGCCTTACCACAGGCAATTCTCCTCCGTTGCAATGAGACGGTTCCGGTTTCTACACCAGAAGACCCTACTGCAATGTGTCGCGTTGACGTGGCTCGCGACTCGGAGAAGCTCGGCTGGGAACAGTACGGCTACGACTTTATCTCAGCCGTCCTCCAGATCCCTGGCCATCATTTCAATATATTCTCTGATGAATATGTAAGCCCCCGAAAAAAAAAAAAAAAAAAAAAAAAAAAAAAAAAAAAAAAGAAGTTCCCGATTAAGTCTGAATGAATATGTTACTGATCCTATCTTCATCCAGCTTGATGATCTTACATCCCGTATCAAAGTGGCTTGCAGGATGTTAGAAAGAACTAATATCTAAAAAGTGCCTGCTGGCTCTTTATCCACGGATTACCTTCTGCCTTTTTTGAATCCATGAACCGCAGTTTGGCATAGCAGAAACCTAAAGATATAGAATACAAGTGGCAAATTGGAAAAGTTATTAGTCTCTTTTATGATATTTTCAACAATGACCGGACTGCCGGAATGCTTCCCTCGCGCCAAATTGAAGAACTGTCGACCTCGCCTCCTCCAACCTTGGAGTGGCAGTACTTGAACCAGAAACCGCAAGTCCGGGGTTAGTACTTTGGTGGCTCGTCTACTCCGCATAACAAAAATTCCGGGATACCATGGATTTGAAAAGCGTATGTCGCCCCTGATCAAAGAAGGTTAAACATTACCACTGCTTTAATTGAAGGGATTGACCCCTTTTAAGTGAAATGACTAATTACAATACCATAAGAAAGGGTGGGAGAAAGGCCCTGCCTCTTATCTCAACTACCTCTCAGCAGCCGTTATGGTACCCTGAAAAACAAAAGGTTCTTGCCAGTCATGGTACCTTTTTATACACCCACACCCTGAAAATTCGTCCGTATATAAATCGAAGAAAACCCTATGCTCAATATAACAAAGAAACGAACAGGAACGAAGATACAACAATGCCCAACTCATCATTTCTCACTAATCTTGCTGGCCACTAGCTTACCCTTTAACCTTGCCTGGACACCAATGGTCTTCAGGTTCTTCGGCCGGGGAATGAATAGGTCGTGGTGGATTTGGATATCATCCAGTGTGGTGTCACACATTTCAAAGTCAAATCGTCGGAATATCGTGCTGGCAGCAATGAATATTTCTGCCTTTGCAAGACTGTTAATCCGTCAGTGAACAAAGCCACCAGCAACCAGGTGATTTTGTTGGGTACACCAACGATAGGTGCTACATATAACCATTTATCACGATTGGTCTACTTACTTCATCCCAAGACATCTCCTAGATCCGGAGCTAAAGGAGACCATATACTTTTCCAGATATTTCCGCTCTTGAAGGTCAAGCCACCGTTCGGGGACGAAGTTATACGAGTCGGGGAATATTTCTTCGCTATGATGCATGATCACGGAAGACATCCCCACCGGTGTCTGTTTCAGAATCCAGTGTGTTAGCCTTCCCCAGGAGAAAGGTGGACCTATAACCTTGGCATGGATGTATTCTCACCCCCGGCGGGATAGCGTATTTGCCATATTCAATAACGTCTCGGGGCGATTTTCGTTGCAGGCGAGTGCTGACACCATATGAGAGCCTGCTCAAGCGCCAATATAGTTGGTTAGCATTGCACGAATGGCCGGATTGATGAAGCACATGCCGTACCTTAAACCTTCGAGGACAACCGAAGACTGCGGGATTTTTAAATGGTTAGCTTTGTTCTGATGTTTGGTTTTTGTCGCGTGGGCAACCCAACTTACCAGGTACGGGAGACTCTCAAGCTGGCACAGCCTGATTTCAGCGGTCGGGTCAGGTTCAGCCTCCCGAAGCTCTTCCCTGAGCCTCCGAAGCTTCTCTGGATTCCGCAAGAGATGGAAGGAGATAACGGACAGGCAATTTGAGGTTGTCTCTGTTCCTGCGCCAATGATGGAACGGACTTCTTGGGTCAACCTTGCCGGACGTTTCTCCTCGCCGCTGAGCCGGGAGTCGAATATCTGGTCGAATACGGTCTTTTTGCGCCCAACAGTTTCTTCAGAGCCCTTCTGTTCCCTCTGACGTTCGTACTGGACCTCGTCTATCCTTTCCCTACAACGTTCTGCCAACGTATAGAACAGTTTGAGGCCAGGATTCAGGGACATTGTGAGGGATTTTGGGAGCATCTTCAGCAACGACAGCACCCAAGTCAGCTGTCTTGAAACCACTGACATCTCGGATGCGTCTCTAAGCACCTGGCCCCAGTTGGGGTACCAGTCTGGAGCTTCAAGATAACCGTAACATCTGTCCATAGTGAACGTGGTGATCAGATCTGTGGTCAGACAGGTATAACCGAGTGACAGCGGCACAGTACCGCCACCTGCACCAAAGTTCTCGATCCGGCTGCATAACTTTTTCACAAGGCCTTGGATTAGGCTCTCCTGCTGGAGAACCCGGCCTCTTGCAAAAAAGGGGTTCATGGCACCCCGCCTCAAGCGATGAAGCTGATGGCTCTCCGTGCCAAAGGACGAAAGAGGAAAGTCAAAGGGCTTCAGGTAATAATATTCCTTGTCTCGGGGATTGCTGTGTGAGTAGAGAACATTGTAGAAGTGCGGATCATTGATATGAAGTTCTCGAGGGCTGATGCGAATTATAGGCCCTAAGAATGAAGGAACCATTCAGCATTTCTCTCTTTGCTGTCTTCCCTTACCGGGTATATTCCTTGTCGATAAACGTACCATATTTCTCATGCAGCTCCTTGATTTTGAAGATGTATCGACCCTTGAGGATGGCATCATAATAAAACTCATAGAGGTATGTCACTGCGGCAATCTTTGGGCCAGGAAACCTGGACAATGGTGAGAAGTGCAGTTGATATACGACACTGCCAATGACGTATGCGAATACCGAAACAACAATCAATGCAAACAGATGCATGGGGAGGATGGAATGAATGTCCATGTTGACAGGCATATCTTGTCCTGTAGGGGGAGTTGGGAAATGGGCTCTGAAACCAGGCATCTATGAAGAACAAACACACGACGTTCAGGCTGCTTAAATAAAGGCAAACAATGATGGGACTCTTGCTGAATAAATTTTCATTTCTCTCGGTCTTCGTTGCAACCATGAGCACAAACGGCGGCAACTAGCAGGAGTGTGCAATACATGAGGTATAGTGACAACTACCAGGAGACAACGGCCGGGTCTCGCTCTACGTTGAAGGCAAAGTCTCGCGTTTAAATGTTGCATGAGACCCATGGCTTCGTCTGCGGCTTTTTTTTATCTTTCTTTTAATTTTCATTTCCATTCCTTTTTTTCACTTTCGTCTCTTTATTATTTCTTATTCCTGGTCTGCCTTCCTCACCCTCCCTCCTTACACTTTCTGCAATGGACATGCATACACAATACTTCATCTCAGCCACGAGAAACGGATGAAGGACAGTATGACGTCTCAGACTGCGGCCGCATGTGATGGCTTTTTTTACTCTTCATTCTTTTTTTCAACATGCAGAAGCAGTGGTAGTTAGGCAGCCCGCGGGTGTTTCAATACAGTACCGTCTGAAGCCTGCCGAACAACCTTACGCCGTTGCACACCCAATGCAGCCGCCCCCTGTACGGAGTATGTATGTCCCTCTTTGCCATCCCTGACGCCGGATACCCCCCTCTGACCCAAGTCACAGGCTTATAAATAACGTCCCACGACAGACCCAAGGTTACTGCAACTTAGTTAACATGTTATATAACCAGAGGCCGAAGTTACGCATGGACGGATACTAGCTTGCAAATATCCCCACTAACGTTCTAGCAGGCAGTTAATTCCTTGCTTCCGTAATGGCAAGATTGAGTTGCGGGAGGTCAGGGCTCTAATTCCTGCATGATTTATGGAGCCCGGGGATACGGGGCAAAAGAAGCTAGAGGGTGTGCGGAAGGACATGGTCCTCCGAATGAAAGCAACGAATTCACTGGGAAGCGGATACTGGCGTAACTATCTAAAGACCAAACAAAGCCTTCCCCCAAGAACACTATCAAGGCAATAGGGAGCTGAAATAGCAGGTTATATGCCACTAATGCTTCCAACCCTGCTCCTCCTCCACCCCTCTTCTCAAGGCTTTTAGGCCTAGACGCCAAAAAAGATCACCGTGTCGATCGGATTGGCTGCTGAGAAAGCTCACCAAAACATCGTCCTAATGGCTTCCAGGAGGTGGCGCTTACCAAAATGGACTGGTAATTGCCCATATTGCTGGGATCTACGGGGTGGAATTGGGTATCGTCGTCGGGGATCACTGTTACCTGCCTCTGCATGAGCCAGAGTGCTGGGATATAAAAACCAATGACATCTACGATACTCCTGCACCCAGCATTACACGGTTGAGTAGCGCGTGTATTTGAACCAGATTTTAATTTCGACAGGGAATTAAGCGGTGCAGGAAGGCCAGAAAAAGCAATATCACTTGAGCCGGTTCCAATGGGGAAGCCCCCATCATGTATGAAGATACGGAGCCCACTGTATACAATACACAACTCACCAGTAGTTATACGGAGGAAAGCTGACATTGCATGTTCATGCATTCCACAAACCCCGATACATGGGGGGCAGATCTTCTGGTTCGTTATTATTCACCTCCGTCCAATCATACCATATGGACATCCTACTGACACCACTGATAGGCCACGTATACATCCGTTTAGGTCTCCCTTCCGGCAGTTGACTGCCAATAAGAAACTGTCGTCTCCGGATGTATCAGCCTGTCGACAAACAAGTCTTTCCAAAGATGTATCACACTTCATCCCAGCTTCTACCAAGGTGGTCAAGCGATATCAGCCCTCCCATCTCAAGAGAAGTACGAGTGCTCTCGCTTGCTACAACGGAACAAGCCCAATCGCCGCAAGAGGAAGTTATCGATTGATTGGCCTATGGTCTCTGAATAGGCGTTCGCAACAACTCCAGCTTGTGTGTGGTGGTATAGCGCCGAGCTAGGAAATAGGAGAGGGAGAAACCATTCGACAGACTTCACAGCAGATTCATGCCACGATCCCTTCGCTGGCTGCCGGACTGAAGAGGGGATGGATGGTGGGACGGTTCGGAATCGGGGTTAGAGCCCAACTATCAACCCTGCACTAAGAGCGCTCTGCGGCATGCACCCCCCTCAAAATGGTGCATAAGGCGTTTCTAGTCCGGACAAGGAATGTTTGTTACGCCAATTTTGGTATATTGGATAATGGAAAACGAAGAAAATAGGCCGGTTGACACCTCTGATGTGTCGTCAGCAGGTACGAAGGATGCATATCCGGTGACGTGCGATTCTGTGGAAGGGGAGCTGAATTCGCTTTCAGCCCTGGGTATGAGAAGGTCATAGCACTTGACAAAGGCATCGTGCTGTATAATCAGTTCTAGATCAGCCCAAGGGCAAGATAGTGTCTGGCATTGGCCTTGTACGGAGGTCACATCCCAGCGGATATATTCCGCATCTTTGGGGATGGTTCAGGCCTCCAAACCTGGAACGACTGTTGGGCGATATCAAAACGCCGACAATCCCGTCCATTTGATGATGGGTGTCCTCATGCCAGGATAAATGAGAGAAATCCTTGCATGTGCAGAGCCGCGGATTTGGAATGAAGATTGACCACGGCCTGTCTCATAGAATACTGCAGGGAAATCAATCGAAGCAATGGGACATCCTTGCAAAATATTCAACCAGGACGGCAGATAAACCGCCCGTTGGCCTTCTCTCTTTTCTCTTTTCGCCTTTTCCTTTTTCCCCTTTCCCTTCTGTCCATATCAAATAATAAGCAAAAAAGAAAAGAGAGGAGAAAGAGAGGAGGCAAAACCAAGCGGCAGCCCTGTTTTGCGCATGGATGTGAAACTCCACACTATAGTTAGCATACAGCCATCCACACAGCAGCAGCACCAAACGAGCGCCGAGCTTCAGTAATGATGAAATCCATCCATGCTCCATGTGGCGGAACAAAGAGAGATAGAGATGGCAAGCGCTCACGATAGCCCAGAGCCCGCTCAACCCGCGTTTGCCTTGCCTGGCCAGCTACAGGGATGTTAGCAATCGCAAACTAACTAGCTGGCGACCCAGAGTTTGGATGTTGATCATGGCTCACGATTCTGGAGTTTCCGGGGAACTACACGGCCGGCATGCAGGGAATCCTCCGTGTCTGCTCTTTTGCTACCGGCCATTTGAGGACGTGAAGTCAACCACCGAGAGGAAGAAAGAAACCTAACAACATACATCATCGCCGGCAACGAGGTTTGGCTAACAAAGCCATAACTAGTTACCTAATTATTAATAGCAACCGGAACTAACTCCGAGTGAAGGAAAAAAATATAGTTAACTAGTTAGCTAGTTAATTCACCGAAAGCCCTACTTGGCTCTCTGGTCACAGCAACTTCAGCCTCCTGTACTTACACGGAGTAGGGACGGAGTACAGGGTACGGAGTATGTCACTCCCCCTTCGAGGCATCCGGGCGAGTAGGGCAAGCCATCATGCATTTGTGATCGGCTGTTGACGTGAAGGAGCAATACGAGAACAGCCAACCTGCAGCTTGAGTCACTTTAGAGTGCACAGCAGCAGCAGGCAGACCCAGGTTAATAGCCAGTTAAGCTAGCAACGCATCTGCCTCGGCAGTTCCAAATAATACAGCACAGGCACCCATCAGAGAAACATACCCGGCACAACAGGCTGCGCTTCCGCTCCGTACCACTGCTGCGAACAGCATGATGCCCGATATCCAGTTCCCCGGGGCGGTTATCCCGCTCCAACGTGGTGAGCGTAGAGGCCAGGATCACGGACTTGAACCTGCGGATGAGATGCTTCCAGCGGATGCTGCGGGCAGACATGAGTTTGCTCCCACTACTCGCAGGCGGCAGCTTGCGGTTTTGATATGCAGCTTCCTAGCTGTTGCCATGACCATAGGCCCAAATTTTTCTTATGGCGTCTTCCAGGAATACTACGTTACGAGCACCGACAGCGTCTTGGACCCATCAGAAGCGAAGAACCGAGCAGCGGTGGCCTTGGTTGGTACGCTCGGTGCTGGGTTGACCTGGAGTGGCTCCATTGTGATCAATCCTCTCGTGAGCAGAGTGAGCGGCAATGCAAATCAGAAGATTGCAACTGCAGGATGCTGCCTAATGAGCGCTTCGTATGCACTTGCTAGCTTGTCCCAGAGGGTCAGTGAAAGCAAGCAGCCCCATCCTACTCCATACCTCCTTGCATTGTATTCCACAAGCAATGTACTCTCTCTCTCTCTCTCCCCTTGCATACCAGCTATTTCGATTTGATTGGATGGTCATTGCATCCAGTCTCTTTAAATAACCGAAAAGCCATACCCAACGCTCTGGTAAACCACAAACAATAAACTAACTATAAACAAAAAATGTAGCTATGGCACCTCTTATTAACCCAGGGTCTACTATACGGAATGGGTAGTTCCATGGTTTATTTTTCCCATCCTTAGCGTTGCCCCCGAGTATTTCGATCGCCATCGTGGAGCTGCTATGGGATTTATTCTGAGCGGCGCTAGTATTGGGGGACTGGTCCTCTCCCCCCTTGTCCGAACGCTTCTGGGCGTCATTGGTGTACGCTGGACACTACGAGCAATGGCCCTTGCAAATCTGGTCATCACTCTTCCAGTTGCAATATCTGCTCCTCCAAGCCGCAGCATGGCCAGAAGACCAACGCTGGTCAACATACGACTTGCAAAGAAGCCTGCATTTATCCTACAGTCTCTTGCCGCCTTACTTCAGGCGAGCGGAAATTTTGTTCCAATGACGTTTTTACCTGAGTTCTCAACCGTTATCGGTTATTCTGTTTCCTTTGGTGCTACGCTTCTTGCTGTTAATAATGGCATCAATGCAGTGTCACGAGTCCTTATGGGTGTTACAGCAGATAAGCTAGGGAGGCAGAATACGCTGGTCCTGGGTGTTGCTGGAAGCGCCGCGAGTGTATGGTGTCTATGGCTCGCGGCTGCTGTTAATGGAGGAAAAGCCGCTTGGCTCACATTTGTGGTTGTGTATGGAATCCTAGCAGGTTCGTATAACTAATACAGCCATCAATCCTCCCTCCCCTCCCTCCAATCGACATAATTGCTCCGGGATGACTGCTAACAGTTCCGTGATAGGTGGTAAGAGCCGACCTAACCCTTTTTATTCCAGCGGCCTAACTACGACATTTTAACCAAGGAAAGCTTGACGCTAACTTGGGGATGTGTAACCCTCAATCCATCTGATACTTAGCATTCAACGCGCTCTTTCCAACCACAATCACGGAAATCTTTGGCGTGCATGCCTACGCCTCTGTCAATGGCTTCCTCTACTTTGTGAGAGGTCTCGGTGCACTCTTTGGCTCCCCCGTTGCTGGTTTTATCCTGGGGGATTCTCGTGTCCCTTCGCCGGGTCAGGAGACCTCTACTCTACTACATGATTATCGGAACCTCATTTGGTATGATGGAGGCCTTCTCTTGGCCTCATCCCTTTGCGTGATTGGGGTACGTGGTTTTGATGCACTAGAGAAACGCAAGTGGGCCTGGAGAGCATAGTGTGTCTATTCCAAGGTTTCAGAGTAGGCCAATGTGTGGTACATGTATAGTTATGGACCTACCATTTGCTCGACAGGCCAGTGGTACGAGTATGGCTATACCACCACGGAGCGCATGGTAATGAGCAAGCTCAGCATAGATACTACAGTTATATGCTAGACTTTGTACTGGTGAGTATTGTTGATAGATAGCCATTCATAAAGCAAAAGCCCCACTCATATCATACAAAATACAAAATCTCTTCTACTTTGAAATATTCGAATACGCCCAGAATAACAAGATATGTCCGCTTCAATATCATTCTAAGGTAGATATGTGCCATCGAATATAAAGACATCATCATGCTAGGTATCAGACAAACCATCCATCTATGTCTATCAAACTCGTTTTTAAAAAAGAAAATAGACGATTCTCATCCAAGGAGAAGCGGTTCTTCTCTTTTCCATAACATGGTTATGGGCCTCCCAGTCGATCTCACGGCGTCCAGCGTCGACATCAACATCTCGGAGTTTCAACCAGCTTTTGCCTTTCCAGATATGGGCACACAGCCAAAATAAAATAACAACGGGAACAGCTAGGTAGGTCTTGAAGAAGCCTTTTGCGTTATTCACGCCTCCACCAAGCGGCCAGACAGCGGTATAAAACTGTGGGATAACGTTAGCCATTGCAATGCTACCAGTCCGTAAGGGGCCCCTTTTTTTCATGGCGAGAATGAAAGACATACCTGGGCAATGAACACCAGGCCAACCATTATAAGCCCAAACCATGACCCCCAGACGCCAAAAGCAGCCTTGAATGGTATTTCATCCAAGGAGTGTCCCTGGAGTTTCCATGCGGCGCGGAATCGGATATGTGAGTAGCATATCTACAAACATGTTAGGTCTCGACTAAAAGAGGCGTTGACTGAATGACAGGAGAAAGGGTGATAGAACTTACACTTCCCCAGGTAAACAGAGATGCCAGACCAGAGAGAGCTAGCAGCCAGCCGAAGATCTCCTCGCCGCTGGCAGTGATATTGATATAAGCAAGGAAGCTGACAAGAATCATAGCAACGGTAGAAACAAGTGGTCTTCCGGCTCGATCGACATAGCGGAACATTTTGGGCGCATAGCCCTGCTCAGCAAGTGCAGTCAGGGTTCTGGAGCCACCGTAGACGCCTGAGTTGCCAATTGAGAGCACAGAAACCAGAATAACGACGTTGAGAAAGCTATCAAAGCCTGTGAGACCGGCGTCTTTTGCAATGATAACCATGGGAGACGCTGCCACGTCGATCAGACTACCGCTACCAAGGAGACGTTTTTCGGTGTAAGGCACCAGCAGGCCCACGAAAACAAGGGAAAGGATATAAAACAGAGTGATACGCCAGAACACCTGCTTCACTGCTGACGGGAGGGACTTGAGTGGTGTTTTCGACTCGGCTGCTGCTAATCCAACCAGCTCTGTTCCCGAGAAAGAAAAGGCTGCGGTCACGAAGACGGCACAAACGCCTGGTGAGAATCAGTCAGTACGTTGCATGTCCATTGAATGAATGTACAGCAGAAGTGCTATTGGGAAAGTAGACATGTCTCTACCTTTGAAGCCATTGGCAAAGGCTCCTGGGTCTTGCCAGAGCCTGGCGCCCCAGTACTCGTTATATTTGCCGTACGAGGGTCCTCCTCCGAGAACACATATCAGGGCTATGATCATGAAGATTATTATTGACACCAGCTTCAGACTGCTGGCCCAGAACTCTCCTTCACCATAGCCCAGCACGCCAAAGAGATTGATTATGATAATGCCGACGATGAACACGGTAATCCAGACTGCTACGCTGACGTTGACTCGCCAATAACCGATTGTCAGAGCAGCAACCGTAAGTTCAAGCGGTAATATAATAGCCCACTGGAATATGTAGTTCCAGCCCATTGCAAACCCCCAGGACGGATCGATAAAGCGAGCGGAATACGTATAGAAACCACCAGATATGGGGTATAGAACCGCAAGCTCGCCGAGCGCATGAACGACATTGAACATCATCTATACGGCATTGGCAGAGGGTTAGCAGCTGATGCACATAACTTCAAAACTCGGAATATAAAACTGAGAAGCCAACTGACCATGCCCGCAATTGCAAAGTCGATAACCAATGCTCCTGGGCCGCCGGCCCTCAGGGCAGAACCGGATCCAACGAACAAGCCGGCACCGATACTGCCCCCAATGGCAATCATGTGCAGATGCCGGGACTTCAGCGTCTGGTTAAACTGGTTGTGTCTGTCCTCGAGCGTTCGCTGCTTGAAAGACTCTGGGGTGCAGCCCATGCGAGTCCAGAATCCCAGCGCTGGCGATGTCTCCAACGTGCTGTCCGATACAACATCATTTTCCTTGCCGCTGCCACCGTTATCCATAGCCAGGCCCGGCTCTTTCTTCTCAAGCATCTCCATGCTGGTTAGCTGCCAGGCGCAGTAGAGAGAATCCGATGACTCAGGTCTGACAGGTTGCCCCGGGCAGATTCTTCAACCAGCGGGCAACCGTGATGTGTGTGTATATATATATATATATATTGGCACCCGCACCAACAATGCCAGGGGGCCAGGGAACATCGAGTTCGAGAGCCAGGGCACCTGGAGCCTGCAGGCCGAGCAGCGGGATGAAGTCCTAGCTGCTTTCAGTGTCGGATCAGACTTTGGGGGATGGCTTTTCGCTGTGTTCCCTTCGCTTTTTCTCTTCGCCACAGGCCCGGTGTAATGTGAGCACGAAAAGCATTCAAACTCGAAGGAGGGTATGATACCACTGGTCCTCCGATATACCAATAGTTTGGCATCGACAAGTCCAATCTATCAATCGCTATCCTGATTAAAGATACGACCATAAGCGAACGCCGTCTCCTAAGGTTGCAGGTCAGTACCAAGGGACCAGCATCCATGGATCACGGCCATCACGAATTCTTCCAAGCGGAAGAAAAACCCACTGCCAAAAAACCCAATTTCGAGTCGGCGATCAATGTCAATCACGGCTTTGCTCCTTCATAGGCCGTCTGTTGCTTAATGCCGCTACCTCGAGTCCACGATATTTTTTTTCTAGAAGAGCTTTTTTTAGCCTCCTTCACGCACGATAGGTCAGGGGTAATCCCCGTCCTTTCCATGGCTGAGGATAATGATATCCATGGGATAGGCTGGTGGAAAAGTCTAGTTAACTAGCTGGACAATGCCAGCCAGAGGTTATCAATCTCTTGGGTCTATCTCTCCAGGCCTTGGATTGAGGTTATCAAAAGAAGAGTGACTCGCTTTTAAGCGTTGAAGTACAGTATGAGTGCTACAGAGGAGTTACAAACTGAGCTGCCAGCGACAGGCAGATCCCTCCCTAAGCATCTGCAGATCTTGGGCCGGTTGAAGAGGGATACTTATGCAGCTAATTTTTCTGGCTTGAACTACAAAATATGACATGACCGAAAAATGAATTCTCCCCAATGGCTTCCACAGTTCGTACGGTCCTCAAGAGAGTTATTACTCTGAGCTTAGGGCGTGAAATACAAGGCTTCGAAGCATGGTCCGCCTGTCCTTCAAGATGTTACTTGAATATTTAAAGGGAGAATTGGCCAATGAGGCGATTGATTAGCTGCGCCGCGCGGTGCTTGACCTTGTGGATGGGAGCCGTCTATCCTCCCTTAAGATGGTTGCTAGCTCTCTAATGACCGGGATTGTTTGATACATATACGGCCTGCCATCGTGTCGTGGAGTTCCCTTTCTTGCAGACTCAGCGAAAAGAATTGTGGCTTGCAGGGGACCAAGGTCAAGAACCTGGGAGAAACAAGTCACACTGCAGAGAAGACAACGCCACGCGGTAGATCGACTCGCCTCGTTTTGTCGGCTGATGGGATTCTCCCGTCAGCCCAGCCGTTTAGCGATTGACACGAGACGACAACCAGAATGCTTGCAGGAAGGCCAGAGCCTTGGTACAAGGCCAATATAACAGCACCTCCGCGCAGTTACAAGAACAGATATCTCTGTAACCGCTAGTTCTTTTCTTTTTCTGCAACCAAGAATGTCCTATAGTCAGATGGAAGCTGTTTGTTTCTATCACCACAACCGCAAACCGACGTTTTCAGCAAAAAAGTATTAATATACATCTGGCTACACGTCTCTTGGAAAGAAAATTTTGGAGATTTAAAAATAAATACGGAGGCTAAGGACTCCTTCTCGAAACTAGTATTCCCGACGGCTCCACAGGCTGCTGGTGACGCTGGTTTTTTGGGCAATATTCGTCTTCCAATCTTCACTGTTGACGTGACAACGAGGCCAGCAGGCAAAATAGGGCAAAGGGAAGTTCGATAATAATCACCAATAATATTGCATGGGCTATTTGAACTCTCACATCCCACAAACCGAGAATTTCACTCCCTTGTTACGTACTGGAATACTGCATACTAAATCTTAGGTCCGCTGGCCTAGCCCTCTCGAAGCTCCCACGGCCAATTTTCGCACTTTTCTATAAATATCCATAGATTTCCGTGGTTCCTCTCAGGAGTCAGGAGTTGTTACATACTCAAGACACAGGATCATGTACGACGTATCCATCGGGCAATGGCAGCTATCTCTGATATACGATATAAGCAGCCACCATTCCCGAGAAGCCTTTTTTAGAAATTGTGGTTAGGAAAGCTCCGGGTGCTGCGATGCTGCGATGCTGCGATGATCTCCTTTTTTTTGCAGATGAAGTCATCGATCTGATTATATAAGCAGAAAGCCTTAATATCAACATCAACAAGCAAAAGCAGCAAACAACAAGCAAAAAGCAACAAGCAACAACTGCTAACACCAACAACTACCTGCAACAAAACACAGCATGCTCCGACGGCCACCTGCTGTGCTGGTACAGCGACACGGAAATGGATGTTTCCGTAGGCTGAGACGGTATTGCCAATTGCGCTGCTATACTGCAGCTCCTATAGCTCGTATAGCTTCTTCCGCCGTCTGTCGCAACATACCATTGACCGCGAACGTCTCTCGAGCTCCCCGCTCAACCCGCAGTCTCTCCATCCTTTCGTCTTTGCCACCCATGCTTGTTCCTCCGGTCGTCCTTATAGGATTGACAGTGACACTCTGGCTATACAAATGCGCTATGATGGTAGTCTTCCAGAATAAGATAATATATATGCCGTCTATGCCACCCTTTTCAAGGCGAGAGAAGATAGCCACCTACGAGAAGGTTTGCTGGCCAATCGTCTGGGAAGAGCAGAGGATAAATTCCCTGGACGGAGTGGAGATCGCCTTGTGTGTTGGGCGGAATGTAGCAATAATGACGGGCAAGGAAGAAAAGCAGGTGAAGGGGCCGGAGGGAGAGGTCGTTATACTGTATTTCCAGGGGTTAGTTAGCTCGTCTCTAGCTCAATCAATGCGCCATTTAATAATAGAACGGAAACTGTAGAAACGGGTCCTCGATTCCCCCTCGTCTGCCTCAACTGTCGGCCGTGCTAAAGGCATTGGACGAGCGGCCATACACCCTCATTGCGGTTTCATATAGAGGATTTTGGACTTCTCGTGGTCGAGCGTCCCAGCGTGGAATTGAGCGGGATGCCGTTGCTGCCCTAAACTGGGCCCGGAAGACATATCTCCGTCCAGATACCCGGCTTGTCCTTTGGGGCCAAAGCATAGGGGCAGGGGTGGCCACTTTTCTTGCAGCATCACACCACCGACAACATGACTGCTTGAGGCGGTCAGAACCACCAGCCTTGATACTCGAGACGCCATTTGTGAGTGTACGGTCGATGCTGCTCGCTCTTTACCCACAGCGTTGGTTGCCGTATCGATATCTCGGCCCGTTTCTACGAAATTGGTGGGACTCGGAGGAAGCTCTACGCTCGATATCTAATACTAGGCCAAACGGGACAGGCAGGAGAAAGGTCCTCGTCGTTTCAGCGGAAAAGGACGAGCTGGTCCCTTCTGAACAAGCAGATGCCATAGAAAAACTGTGCACTGGGGGTGGGATGGACGTATCTCGAACAAGGGTTCGAGGCGCATTGCATACCGAAGCTACATTTCGAGGTGACGGGAGAAACGCAGTGGTGAGCTTTTTGAAACGACTATAATTATATAGTAAATTATCCTAGCGCATGATCATTACATTAGACCTCATTAAGTATAGGAACATTCATCATGGGCGTGTCAAACATAATCGTGTAAACTAAACGCAGAAGGCCGCCGATCTTTTTAAAAAGGGATTTTCCAAGAAACCATCAAATATTCCACCCAGTAGTTTTAGAATCGACGAAAATAACAAAATAAAATAACACAAGGAAATAGGCCATAATTCATACAAGAGTGGAATTTAACATGTCCAAGATGAATTGGACGGGGTATATAGACATTATAAAGGTTAACTGAGGAAGAAAAATATCAAGACATATCAAAAAGGGAGGAATAAATGGTAAAAAAAAAGCACGAATACATGCAATAACAAATCAAGATATTGGGGACGAGTCCTTTTTTTTTTTTTTTTT